GACTAAATTTTGATCCCTGAAATCTTTGGTAATACCAATGTTCACTTTGTCTGGTTTTGTTGCAGCATGCCCCAAATATGATAACAATGCTATTATTTCTCTATTTCTACTATGGTGCAAGTCACCCAATCCCACAATTTTCTATGCCATGAGAAAAATTTACCAATTAAAAATGCAATAAAAATTGTTTAGTCATATTTCCTGGTCATTTCATAAATAGTAAAATCGGTAATAATAATATATTAGTATATATATACCATTTGTTACTAGTTAAAACTTAAAAGTGACGTTAACAATAGTATTTTCATGAAATATATTTTTGGTGCTAGGTGGGAAATAGCAAGCATATTTTTTTGCGCATTTCTTTGATCAATGCAATAGTCTATTTATTAAATTTTAAATAAATGAATTTAGCTGTTAATTGTATTTTATATATATATATATAAAGAATAAATTCTCTTTCCATTCATCATATGACAAAAGATCTGGAACTTTTGTTTTGTTTCAATTCATCTATTTTTGATATTTAACTTTTTTGTTGTAACACGTCAATTTTGGGGCTAAACATAAGAAATTCGCAACAACATGCATGACATATCAATGAGATGAAATCATAACTTTGTAGAGGAAGGTCTTGGCTTCAAAAAAACGATTTATTTCGGGGGTGTTGCATTTCCATTTTTGGAGGATTTGAAGGTCTAAACAACCGATAAAAAGTTGTGGGACTAAGTGACTTGCAATATACATGAGAATATTCGAAACCGAAATCCAACCCCCCTCCAAAAATCTTTCTCCTTATATATATACTTTTTAGTGCATGAACGAATTCTATAGTAATACAGTACACGGCCCTTCTGTTTTGGCAAAAAAAGGCTAGGGAATTTGCAGATTTTAATCATGTGATCAATTCATAATGTGATGCAAAATTTTTTTATATTTTATGCATTCATTATTAAAAAAAATAAAATATTAATACATAATTTTATATATTAAGAAAGCCATCTAATGTTGATTGTTGATGTGAATCAAAATTGATTTTTTTTAATTTTTCTTTTAAGGCTTTTTCAATGATTTAAATTCGTTCTCACTTAATTGCAACTTTTCAGATTGTTGTTTAATGTAAACATCTAATGTTTTCATTACTGATAAAGTTTTTTTATTTGCAACTGGTGAAAATTTTTCAATTATTTCTTCTTGATTTTGGTCTTCCTCAATTGGATTAATTATTGAAATTATGTCTTGTAGATTTATTTCATCATTTTCATTAATTTTGTCAATTCAATGTATTCCGGATAATGAAGTAATAATAATATATGTGTTAAATAATGTTTATAAAGATATGATAGATATGTGAAAATAATTTTAATAATTTGATTTGCCTAATTTAGCAATTATAATTTCAGGTCATGCTCGTCGGCCGTTATAGGCAGTTATATAAAACATATAAGTGAATTTCAGTCGATTGAGAAGGCCGTTATAGAGCGGGACATTTTATATAGTAAAAAATCGGGGCCCAATTCCCAGTTTGATATAATGTAGGCCGTTATAGAAAAGGCCATTATAGAGAAAGTGTACTGTAATATATACCTATTATTCTATAAAAAATTTGACACGGAAGAAGATACAGGAAAACATATTATATTAGTAATAATACGGAATATACATAAAATCTACACGGAATTTACATGTAAAAAAATTTTTATAGGAATTTCTAGATCCCGTAAGGACAAAAATCTATTACTATTATTACCATTTTGATCATGTTCAAGGCTGGCATTAGACAGTGTTCAATGCATCTCGTAGACATCCTAAACAACACGTTAGTCATGTCCAATACATATCCAATATCCGTGTCCAACTGACAACTGTTAGACATTGGACCATGTTCACTGTGTCCTGCCTGATCATGTTGGTAAAAATCGATTGTTACGATTAATTCATGAACATAATTTCCAAGGAAATTCTTTACAATTGTAGCAACATTTTGTCAATCATTTTCACCGAGGTATTCATTCTTTTAGCATTATAAGATACGTTGTTCTGATTTAGAGAGAGCTTGAAATGATTTATATATATGCAGAAATTAAAAAATCTGATCGACATACTACCCAAATCATGTGTAACCGAGGTGTAGATAAAAAATTATTTTGAATTTTTTCATTCAAATCAATCAATATTTCAAAATGACGAAAAATTGTCAACCGATTAGGTTTGTTTTTATTATAAAAAAATTAGAAGAAAAGAAATTAAGAATATATGATTAATTTTATAAACAGACTTTATTCTAAAGGCCGTATTCTTGGTTTTAAACGAGCAAAAAAAAATCAATCACCAAATATTACATTAATTAAAATTGAAGGAGTAACTACGAAAGAAGAGACACAATTCTATCTTGGGAAACGCGTTGCTTTTGTGTATCGTGCCAAGCGTGAGGTAGATTAAAAATGATTTAGCATTGAATGTTTGGGTGCATTTTTTACGACTTGAAAATTAATAAGATTTAATCTTTAATGAAAAACTAAACAAAGAAAAATGGTAGCAAGATTCGTGTAATTTGGGGTCGTGTGTCAAGGTAACTTTTCATGTTTATTAGTGAAAATATTTTTTATTAGATAGGAATTTTATTTTTTAATCACGCATAAATAGACCTCATGGTAATGGTGGAGTAGTAAAAGTCAAGTTTAGAACTAACCTTCCTGCAAAAACTTTTGGTGCTAGTGCAAGAATTGTGAGTATATTTGATATCATGTGTTTATTTGATCAATATCTTGAACTTAACAAAAAAAAATTCTTTTTTTTAATAAATAAAAGATGCTGTATCCTTCACGTGTTTAATTAAGAAAACTTTGACAATTAGGAATATGTAAAATAATATGATAAAATTTTATTAATTTGTAAGAAATAAAAAAAAATTTATAATGATAAAAATTAATAAATATATAAAAATAATTATAATTAGAAAAATTAGAAAATAATGACTTCTAATCCTTTTCTGTATTGTAAAGCCACTCTTGCTGAGCTTTTTCAATTTCAACTTGTTTTTGTAAATATTGACCAAATCATCAGTAAAAGGAAAACCTTTAAACAAAAAAATTTAATTAATACCAAATGTTGATGTATCACTTTTGAAACTAATTAATTATCAGAAATATCTTTAGTTATTTCTTGGCAGTATTAATTATACCTTAATGGTTTCTCAAATATAAATAATTTTATTTTACAAAAAATTTATATATAATTTTTATGTTAATTAATTATTCAATATCCATCTTTGTTCAATTTATAATTTCCTAACCAAATACATGGTTAATATTTATTGATTATTCATTAACGAAAACTAGCCTTTCTTGTCTTACATTTAAAACTACAATCTTTTCTTTTAGATTTGAATACAATTTAGATTTGAATATCACTAATATTAATGTTGTTATAATTAGAATAATTACTTTGCCCGTTCCCATTTTCATCAACTGAAGCTTCTCTCATTAATTATTCCATTGCCTGATAATCTCTAAAATGAATAAAAACACAAAGACCTGTAGATTGGTAATTATTACATGTAAACTAGTCAAAAGCTATATACCCAATATGAGAGGACCTTTTCTAAAATCATGATTTTGGGTTAATACCATTTTTATATGTAACTCTTTGGATGGAACGTTTTGGCTTAGAAACCATGCCCATTTTGCATAAGCAAAATTTGAGATATTTTCCTTGAAATTTCAATAACAATAGCAAATCCCTTAAAATACAGTCCTATTTTTTTTTGATAAGCACTCAATATTTCCTTATTTGGCTTTAAAGCTTACATCTCCATATAGTCAATAACTGTGCCACGCGGCCAAATTTTCACAAAATTTATTGCGTTCACAATTAAATGAAAATTTTCAATTTTATTAGCAAAAAAACCATCCCTGGAATATATTTAACATTGAGGTGTATTTACAGGAGGTGTTGGAATATTAGTTTGCAGCACATTCAAAAATTTGCGAATTTCCCCAATTAATCCTCTTATACCTCCAATTTTTTCATCATCAACTATATCATAAGGATGCCATTCAGGTACTTCTCCAACACTCAAAGCACTATTAAAGGCAAAATCATCATCCCAAGATTTTTTGTAAAGCTATAATAATAACAATGATGGGTAAAATAAATGCAATCTTTATGATTATTCTCATTATTATGACAATTAACAACAAAAATTTTTTTTAAAAATGGATATTATACCGTAACTCCATATCTAACACTGAATGGTTCCTCTTTGTCCATAATAATCTCTACACCAGCTGAAATATTTTTAAAACTATCACATTTCCAATATTCATATCGCGTCACCTCAACAACGTAATGTTCACCCCACCAATATTTCCATTTAGTTTTTTGACAGATTGAAGTGACTTGGACTTTATCAGTATTGGTGTATATTAAACGATTTTGAGGGCTATGGTTATAAAAATAAATGTATGTTAATATATTGATATTTGTTTTTAAAGAAAAATATCTAATATTATTATCATCACCTTAATCTTAATTTGTAAACGAATATTCCTTGTGGAGAAAATTTATCATTAGAAAGATGTTTAGCAGTTTGAATACCCAAACACCATGAATAATCACTATAAAAATTTAAAAAAAATGGATGATTATTATTATTATTAAATCTATTATTATACTCCATTAAAAAAACAATACTTGCTTATCTAAACAAATCATATTTATCTCCATTACATTTTTTTCATCAGTTACTGTGCTCCATAATCCAATTTTACCATCATCTTTGAATTGAACATCAAATGAACAATCCCAAGTACTCTCATTACGTGCCAAAGGAGCACGAGTAGCACAAATCTTAAATTCTTGTATAGGAGAATTATCCCATTGATTATTTTCAACACCATCTTTAGAATTAACATCTTTGCCATCCAGAATAGCACAAAATTGATTAATCTTTTTAATATCTTTAGTAACACTAGTGAGTAAAATACACACACATGCACACACACAGATATATTTATATACTTATATATAACAAAATATATAATACTGAACTTTAATTGAAATAAACAAATAAATAATAAATTTACCATGTACTGAACTTTGACTGTAAACGAGAATCATTTAAAACTTTATAATGCAATTTTTCAACAGGCCATAAAGGATCCTTTGGAAAATCTGTAAGACAAACATGTCCAAATCTACCCATATATATTGATATGATGACAAATATTAAATTGAAAGAATAATTATTTTTTTGATTATCATTTAATCATACATGTTTTTACCTAATGCGCATTTTAATTTCTTCATCAAATAAATGAACAGTTCCTAAAGCTTGTTTAAGAGCATTTTCAATAGTTATAGGATTTGAATTACGAATCCTTAAATAAAATAAAATCAATCAATTAATAATAGTATTGTAATAATAATAATAATAATAATAATAGTAGTAGTACTAGTAGTAATAATAATAATAATAATAAATCAGCTTACTCTTCTAAAATACCAGTGTCAAATTTAGTTTTCTCATTTAGAATCATTTCATCAAGTTTACTATCGATAACTGGTTCAAAAACTTTTACAATTCCTGTAGAATCATATGGGGCAGTAAGCCAAATTGGTTTGTCCGATATTTTAACCAAATATGGAAATTTTGGTTCTTCAACTAAATGATAAATCCATCCTCTACGTTTATTTTTTAAATGGGCTTCTTTTTGATTTTGGGGTATATGTCGAAGCTAAATGATAAATATACATATTGTATTAAATTTTTTTTAACCAAAATCCACTTATATATATATATAATCTTACTGCATTAGCTTTAATATAGAGGTTTTTAATTCTTTTTGTCGCCTCTTCAACAGATTCTAAAGTATTACCGGCAACTTTTATGTACTAATTAAACGATATTATATATACATAAGAAATAATAATCCATTAAAAATTTAAGAAGGAATATCTATATTTTATAAATTATCTTACATCGTTCTCATTCCATATATAACATTTGGTCTCAACACGAATTGGATCCAATATTTCTGTTTTTTCACCAATAATCATTGGAATTGGTATTTGAGCGTTAGGAAAAAGGAAAACTCCAAAGAAAGGTTTGTCTTCACAAACTCCTCGATAATCCTCTGCTTCTTTTTCACGTGCCTCTTTACGTTGCAACTTGCGTAACTGTTTATCAGTAAGTGCTTTTTCTGGTCTTGCCCAACCTTTAACTCTTCTTTTACTTTTTTCTTTTTGTTGTTCCTACAAAATATTAATAAGTTTACATTTACATTCCATTTATATTAGCATCCATACTAATATCAATTAAACAATCTTTTATCATAATTAGGTACTGACTGTAAGTATATTCTCTGCCAGATTGTTCCATTGTTTAAGAGCTTGTTCTAAATCTTGTCTTCTTCCCCACATTTCAATTTGCTGAAATATAAAAAAGGTTATATTGAGATCAAACAAGATAAATCACAAATCAATTAAACTAATTATATTAAATAAAACCTACCAATGTTCTACTATTATATTTCATATGGGTATTTGTAGTGGATTCTATACGTGCTTTATTACAATCTTTCTCACCAAGAATTTCAAGAGGGCGAAGATTAGGTGGAATCTAAAATTGTAAGAAAAAGTTTGATATTAAATGTTTCTTATTATTGTTGGAGTTTTTTAAAAACTTACCAGCCATACTTCATCAGGAACTGTTTTAGCTGTAGCTTGTTCAACGGATTCATCCCTATACTGAGGGTCTTCATCAGGCCTATCTCTTCTACTTACTCTGGAAAATGGTTGTCTCCACTCTCGTGCCTCCTCCTCTTCATAATTAACATTTGCATCACCAAGTGTTCTATATGGATTAGTACTATTCATCTTGCAACTAATTTCTAATCAATTATTATTATGCAATTGTTTTTTTTACAATGGGTTACACAAATCAAGAAAATGGGCAACTAACACATGTTCTCAAAATACAGTGCGGATCTATATATACTCAAAAGTTAAATTTTTTGAAATATTATGTGATCCACACATTGGATTTTAAAAAACCCACCACCATTCAATTCAGCTTTAAAAAGGGAGT